TCCTTGTTCTAAGGTCAGGACTAACAAACTTCATGACTGATTTCAATTGTTTTGCCATTTGTTCTTCAAAGTACACAAAAACAAGTAAATTTCCTTGGGTCTCCAGCAGACTAATATGGTATATGTATCTGGACCACTCGCTACATCCCAGATACTCTAAGCTCCACGTGACTATCATTTTGGGTAAGTAACTCCTGTGATAAATTACAAGCAATATTAAATACACAAGGCGCTCCTAGCTTTTTATAGTTTTGTATTCCTTTTCCAGAAAGTCAATGAATTTTAACTTTAATATTAACATTGATGAAAAAGACACTCAAGAGTATTCATAAAATAAAAAAAAACTAGTGAAGGAAATGAAACAAAACCTAATTAAATGAAAAGATAGTCCTGTGTGCTGAAATTAAGATAGTTTTTAAAATGTTTCATATTTTTCTGATTCTGTTCTAATCCATTTAATCTCAATGAGACGATTCCACGATAATTATTGTTTAGATTCCTTGGTAATTCCTACTTGATAGATAATAAAACCGAAGTCCAGAGGGGTTAATATTAACTCCCTTCCAAGGCCCACAGATAGTTGACATTAATCCAAACTAGCTGATTTATGTTCTTCTTCACTACCTCATAAATAAGGTATATAAATAGGATATAATTATAATAGGGCCTAGTCATGGAGAAGTTACAGCAGAGTGGACTTTTTTAATAACAATAGTAAAAGGATACTCATGAAAAGCTCTGTAAGCATACTAAGACTCACTAAATTGCATGCTTTAAATGGGTGAACTTTATGCTTTGAATTACATATATATTCTGAGACAAGATCTTTCTTTGTAGCCCAGTCTGACTTGGAACTCATAAACCCAGGCTGGCCTCAAACTTGTAGTAATCATTCTGCTTCAGTCTCCCATATAGAAATCTGTCTTTAAAACTCCCCACAAACCACAAGTAAGTTCATCATTATGTAATGCAAACTCGGTCTCAACATGACTGATTGCTTGTAGGTAAAATATGTATTCTTCATGAGTCAAATAAAACAAACTTCACTGTCAAGAGACCACTCATTTTACTTTAGCAGATGAGACAGAAAGTTTTCATCTAATAAGGAAAGAAAAAATGTTTAGTCCTCAGCTTGAGTTCTGTTTGCACATACCAGGAAATGAACAAGCTCTCAACTTCTAAGATAAGTTCATATTGCAATCATAATTGCGTGTGCATTGAGGATACACAAACAATAAAACCTAGAAAGAACAGAGATGGAAAGAACATTGAAATTATACTGGCATTTTTAAAACTGTGCATAAACTTTTGCTTTTCCCTTTTATGTTTAAAACTGATTTTAAAGGAGGTGGGGAAAAACACTTTATAGAGAAAACTAGTGGGATCTTTTTCTTACGGCATTGAGTAGTATAGTTAGTTCCAATGGTCAACACTAAGGCATAATGGACTAGGGCAGCTTTTCCTCAACACTATTTCTTGGGTTTTGGCAGAGCACTGAAAGAAGAGATGGACAGACATACTGCTACGGTGCTAGGGGAATTTGTTGCGAGGTTAACTCTAGTCATAAACATTGAAAGAGGCTCCTCATCCGGGGCAGTTGCCCTCATGGATCTGGCCACTGATCACTTGGAGACAAGACAAAAGCTTGGATTGCAGCTCAACAACTTCACTGACAACACCCAAAGAAGAGCTCCAAGTCTTTGCCCTTTAAACCATGGGTCACCTTTACCCTTTCTCAGCCCTCTGCAAAGCACGTGTGCTAAAACCTCACTTACATAGCTTCATGCTTCAAAGAACACAAAGGAAATACAAACGATATAAATCACTTAATCACAGCATGGCTTCTAAACGATTGCTTTCTATTTCAGTGAACGTTAGTTTAAAGTCAAATACAAGCAGAATAAAAAGATTATATTTTTAAGGAGCGTGTGTGTGCTTCTGTTCTGTTAGTTTTAAAGTTACCAGTCCACGTGGCTCCAGGCAGGCTACTGGCTCCCTTAGGGAGCCTTCTTACCACTGTCAGATGTGGGAAAAGTGTTACCAAAAACAACCCAGTAAGCCTGGCATGCCTTAGGGACTGCCACACTCCTGCCCCTTGTCATCCCCTTCAGTTCTTTTTCTCAGTTCTAGTGCTCCCTCAAACCCCTACACTGATTGGTCCTTATCTTTCCTTTGGATTGAAGAATCATTTATGTTAATCAACTTAGGCTAAAAAAAGTCACTTCCCGGTTTTTCTGGTTTGGCCATTATACTAAGTAATCAGGTTAAGGCCTAACTTCAATTCCCTTTTTGTAGTATTCATATAATCTTGATATAGATTAACACACTTATGAAAAGCTTTTACTTTATTTTTTATAGATTATGTATATGAATACTTTATTTCCTAGTATCCATTTTTTTTTATCTTTTAATATAACTTACTACTAAAGAGAACCAGAACTTGTTGTAGGAATAGTGGATTCTACATCTGAGGCAGAAAATATATCAAGTATTCCTGGAACAAAATAATGGAGCAGGAAAGAATGGGAATAGGATTGTAGACTTAAAGAAAAACCATTAACATGTTTTACAATTGTTAAGACTGTGTGCTCAGAACAAGGGATGGCCTACAAAGCATATTCTACTACTGTATATTTTTAAACCAAAAATTATACAATGAAAAATTTCATTTATAATATCAAAGAGTCTCTTGATAATTCCAGATCATCAGTCCTTCCCCTGACAACAATCTCTGTAACAATTTCAATTAAAAACATAAGCATAGGTATACAACACATTGCAATTTTAAAAGCCACAATTGGTAGCATATTATACACATTTTTTCTCTGACTGATGGTATTTTATATTAGCAGCCTTTTTAAATTTTTTTTATTTTTTTTATTTTCGAGACAGGGTTTCTCCGTAGCTTTTTTGTTCCTGTCCTGGAACTAGCTCTTGTAGACCAGGCTGGCCTCGAACTCACAGAGATCCGCCTGCCTCTGGGATTAAAGGCATGCGCCACCACCTCCCGGCTTTAATAATTTTTTTTGCAGGACTGGAGAGATGGCTCAGGGGTTAAAGTACTTGCAGCTCTTACAGAGGACTGCAATTTGTTCCCCAGGGTCCAGGATGGTGACTCACAACCCTGTAACTTCAGCATCCGAGGATCTGTTACCCTCTTTTGCCTTCTCTGGGCACTGAACACTAGCGCACACACACATATACACGTTTAACATTTAATACAGGGTCTCATTGTGTAGTCCTACTTGGCCTGGAACTCATTACGTAGACCAGACTAGCTTTGAACTCACAGAGATTTGCCTGCTCCTGCCTTTCAAATGTTGGGATTTTTGTTGTTTTTTGAGACAGTGTTTCTCTGTGTAACAGCTCTAGCTGTTCTGGAACTCGCTGTGTAGATCAGGTTGGCCTCGAATTTACAGAGATCACTGGCCTCTACTTCCAGAATGTTCGGATTAAAGCCATACACCACCACGCACGGCAAAAATAAGACTTTTAAAAGCATTTTTTTTTCAGTAGCGGCATTTGAAGCTGGAGCTTCATACATGGTGCGCAAGTGTCCCGGGCTATGTCTCTGTCTCTAGACTTCTTTGGTGTGTGAGTGGTTTTGAGGCAGAATCTTACTTAATTGCTCAGGCTAATGAACTGGGATTACAGCTATTCCACAATGCCCCACAACAGCT